TTCTTATATTACATGGAACATAATATCCACTGTGGTGGTATTCCAAGAATTCCCTACTTGGAAAATGATATTTTGGGGGTGGGTGGGTATGGAATATGTGAATTGATCATGAGGAAATGGGACGAGAAAGAGATAGGGCAATGTCTAACTTGAAATTTTTAGATAAAGATATAGGGGGAAAAGATGAGTTAGTAAGTGAGTATACTGATAATAGTTTTATTTTTGATGTTCTTTTGATTGCAGAAGGATCTTTGGTCTTCACTCTATGTAAGTTTCTGACAGCTCTATGTCATATAGGATTCAAAAGAACCACTTCATGTGAGAAATGATTAGATAAGTCAGTAGAAAAATATTTTAGACATTTAGTAGCAATATGGAGATCTCTGTCCAAATTCAAATCATTTAAAATGGTCAAATGGCTAATAAACTTGCAGTAGTGTAGCAAGGATTTTCCTGTAATAACTTGAAAATCAAAATTTACTGTATGTTGTAATTTCCATTCATTGTTTTCTGGGGACCTAATTTGTTGACTATTAAACACCAGAAAAATCTTTAATGGAAAATGATTTAGTAAAGTTTATCCACTTATAAACTGAAATACAGTTCATATTTCATGCTTACAGGAATGTTTTATGATAAGTATTTTTACACTCATTCCTATATTCCCAATTTCTCATAGTAACTAGTGTTTAAAATGACAGTATTTCAAAATTATCTTTTTTACTGAAGTAATAAACAAAACAGTGTAACAACAGGATATTTAAGGAAACAATCCTGATAGTATGATTAACTGAATTAGAATTTACAAAGATAAAGTTTCTGCTTGTATTTAGATGTTGTCACGATGCCTGTGACTTTGAATTTGACTTTGTTATGACATGTTATGTCACAGAATACACTTTTAGTTCATGTCTTGGTGAAACAATGTTTTTCTCAAAAACAAGGCAGACTGGTAACAAATGTAGACAAATGAGAAAAAAATGCGCTGTAGCCAATATCCAAACCAAGCTTAGAGTCAAAATGATATTTCAAAATATATAGTAAAATTAAAGATTTTTCTAAGTTATAAGTAAACTTACTGTTTTCCAGGGTTATGTCAGAATCTCAATGAATTGCTCAGTGTCTGAAACAATGTTATGAGCAATGGCCAGTGTATACCAGTAAATTTGCTCGGATTTTATTACCATTAATATTACTTTCTTTGTGTTCTTGCTGCCCTTTTTCAGACTTCTTTATTAAAAAAACGTAAAAAAATTTTAGAGCTAGTATAATGGAGTATATGGTAATTATTATGCATATAATGAAGTTTCAAAACTTGCATTTACCTAGAATCAGACTAATTAAGCATAATTCATAGATGGCAGCAAATTAAAAGGATACTAACTGGTATCTTATGTTTCTAACAATAGCCTTCTGGCACAGTATGATCCTACATGTCTTCTGGATAATCAAATAACATATTCTGCTTAGTAAGCTTCACTATTCTTATTAGGTATTTAATTCTTTGAAATTAGTTACCTTTGTACAATACATAAATATCAGCTCAAAATTTCCAGTCAACCAGAACAGCTTATTCTCAAACATATTGAAAAAATGACAGCCTGAAGACCATTAAATGTATTATTTAATAAACCTAATATCTTCTCTGTGACAGGTCAGCGTATAATAAAGGTGTCTGAATAACAATGTAACTCATGGCAGAAAACAAATTCCACTTCCTGGGTACATGACAGATTACATAGACCCTATTTCTCAGACCCTTTCTCTGTAAAACAGGGAGATTAATACCTGTCTGTACAGTTCAAGGAGCTATTTTGGGGCCCACGTAAATAATCCAAGTGAAAATGTGATGCATTAGTAAGGTATTATTATTATTGTAACAAAGATGACTTTTAAGTTTTATTTGCATATGGCCTAGGAATCAAAGATTGATTCTATTCAGCAGCAAGGGCTGATCTGGAAATGAGCTAAAAGACTGAGGTCGGGGTTCTAAATTTTGCATTCTGTACCCCAATCTAAGGCTTATATGCAAAAACATTGCTGGATGGGGACTTTTAAATAAGGATTGCATTTAATTTTTATCTTGAATAAATTCAATTTTGTTATTTCTAAGAACTATATATCAATTCAAATAGATAAAATGTAATTATGTGTTTACCATAATTAGATATTTTAAAGTACAAGATTTCGTTTTAAAAAACTGGTTTCTTTTACAAAAGAAAACACTGGTTTGTAACAAGTAATATCACTAGTTTGTGACAAAGTAGAAGTTAGTGGAATAAAGGTTGTTTTAGGGAAACAAGAGAATATTAGCATGGCTTCATCTTCAGTTTCTGAAGATAAGCCATGGTTAATTTAGACCTGAACATGTATGACACTGCATGTGATATCTTTGATTGAAAGAAATTTTACTAGTAAAACATTCCCAAGAGAGCATTTAAAAAGCTTTGGAAAGTAGTTGTTAACTTTAAATTTCTACCTCTGTTCTTAGTGATGGTTTTTAAAGTCCAGGAAAGTGAAGCTATTTATTTACAAGTCAAAATGTTCAATTTAGTTGCACTGGGGAAAAAAAATAGGAAGGTCGCCCTGTTTTTTAAGATACGTTTGACCATTTTTTCATTTAAAAAACCTTCTCCTAGTCCTTGTTAGAGAAAAGCATTTTATTCGGAGTCCAAATAAGTAACTCATATGAGTCTGAGAATACGCAGTTTGATTTCTTTGAGGTTCTGGACATTTAACAAGGATCTTTCTACCCTCCACTCCTATCTATTCTCCAAAAAAGTCATGTTGCACCTGCCAAAAAGACAGTCTCGTTTGTCTCCTTGGAGGACGCCAGGGGTCGCCCCTGTCCCAGAATTGCACCGGCAGCCCAAGCCGCAAAAGTATACTCAAGTGCGAAGGCGCTAGAAGCATCGCTTGCAGACTCACTCTCATAGAATCATTGGAATTTCAAACCAATTCCACCTACTTCCTCTTTCATCCCCGCGACACAACCAGAGGGCGCCTTTGACGTGGCCTCGAGGCAATTAAAGCAGTTCGTCTTTGATTCTGTGATTCCTCCCTAATCTTAGCCCAGAGGTGCACAGGTCACACTGCGTCCCGAGTTTCCCGCACCATAGACCTCGCTGGGGAAGATAGGAATAAGCTGACAGCAAGCGTTGCTTCTGGTGTCTCACATGGGCCCCGAAAACCGCAAACGGAGGCGCCATTGACACACAGGACCCTGCCCTACCTACCCCAGCAAATGTGTAGCTCCTTGTTGGGGAACAACTCCATGGGGTAATGAAAAGAATTGGGTTGCGATTGGCACAGGCTGGAAGAGAGGATTGCAAACAAGAAGCAGAGCTTCCGTCATGCCTCGGTTTCCCCACTGGCCTTGCAACTCAATCCCCTTGGATTTAGCCTAGGAGGAAAGGAGGCGGGAGCTGCCAGGGTGAGGGAACCCACCGCTGCGTCCAGGCTGCTCCTTCCGCAGGGCCAGAGCGAAGGGTGGGTGGGAGAGTTATGAAGAATACAAGCCATTCAGACCCCAAGAATAATAAATCGGATGCCCTGATGTGTTTAGTTTAGGCCGTCCTACACACTGCTACGCCATACCAGGGGCGGTGAGGCCAGGACGGAACCCCAGGCGCTCCTGCCCAGCAGCGTTTTTAAAAGGCAATTTTCAGGTGAATCAAACCTTGTGTGACCGAGGTTAGCGGTACAAAGGGAGCTTTCAGAGGACCCTCACGCCCAGAGGCAGGGCAGAGACAAACAGCGGCCGAGAAGCGATTACTAAATTTCCATCTCACACAAGCTGTGTTGTGTCCGAGGAGCAGCCCCAGCTCTGGCCCCGAGGGCTTTGCGGGCTGGATACTTGGGAAGGGATCCGTCAGGGGATGTGGCACCACCACTGGTCATGGGCTGACCTGCCGCGGAGGTCCGTACTGACAAGGAAATAACAGCCTTTTGCGCCCCTTGAGTTCCACTTCTTTCTTCTCCCCACCAGCGTCCCCCAACTATGGAACCGGGGACTCCCTTGGCTCTGCGTCTGCCAAGACACGCACCAGAGCGGCGTGCGACCCAGGCTTCCCGGGAGCAAAGAGAGGTGCCACTCTCGCATCTCTTCCCGCATCTCGGGAAGACGCCACCTTCATTTTACAGGGCAACTTGGGTTAAGACCGCCCTGGACAAGCCCATTTAATCTCACCAAGTACATCGTTTTATGAAACCGTCACAAGCCAGTCTGCCAAGTAACGGGATAATGGGCAGCGAAGAAGCCAGCACGATCTTTAGGGGGAACCCCACCCTCTATATGTGACTGTCTCAGGGGACCCTCTTTAAAGGGCCTGAGATGGCAAAAGCGCTCACGTGTGACAGGCAAGAGAGTAACTGGAAGCCCCGCGCCTCTGGAGTTCTGTGTTCAGACCCGGGCGTGGGGCGTCGGGCAACTTCGCAAACACACAGACACGCGAACCCCCAATGCCTCCCGCGCCATTCTGCTTCAATCGTGGGTGTCGCGGGAGGCGGCAGCCTCGGAGGGCTTGCTCAGTACCTCCCTGGACAGCCCTAGGGGCGCAGGCAAGGTTTCCCCGCCCAAGGCGGCGACGTTAGGTGAGCGGGTTCCTCCGCCGCGCTTCTCCCAGCGTCCACTCAGCAGTCAGGGGTATCCCGCAGAAAGGGCTTCCCAGCTGCCTGGAGTTCTAGGCCTCTGTCCGAGCTTCAAAAGGAAAGTACAAATCCCTAGAGCGAGTTTAAAGAAGGACCCAACACTTCCAGAACCTGAAGTTCCTAGAGGGCGGGAGCCACACTAGCACCGGGTTCTCCTGACTCCAGCACCAGTTAGGATGCTGGGGAAGAGAAGGAAACCTCCAATATCCCCAGAGCCCCAACTGTTACTTCCTCTGAGAGGCGTGGGGTGTAGGGTGGGAGGACTGTTGCCTTTGGGAGCCGACAGGCAAAGCGAACCGACAGGTGAACGCGGCGGAAGGTAGCAAATGCGTAAAAAACCCTGCACTTACTTCTTCGCTGGCGCCTTCCCCGGGAGGCGTTTTGGCTGCCGATGTATTCCATAAAGTTCAAAATGATAAAAAACCAAGAAATCAGTCGCAAGTGCATAGTAACCCAGTAATGTTTCCCTTCTTTTTCTCCTTTGTCTTTTGATTGTTAATTATATTTAGTGTTTGTAAAGTATATGTAGGTGTTAGGCGTATCTATACGTAGAGAGAGAAAACCCAAGCAGCGGGACTTCTCCACACAGATCCAAAAGGCGTGCTATGATGGCCAGCGAAGCGGGACGGGTGGACAGGGAAACCAACTATAGTACTTTCAAATTGTCCGAACACTGACGGGTCCGCTGGAGTGGCTGTCATCCCCGCAAAAGAAGGTTGGAGTTGCCGCCCTGGCAGCCGCAGGTATAGCGCGGCGGCTGGGGCCGCGGATGGAGTCTCAGGCGAGCGGCAGCAGCGGAGGCCCCCTTGAGCTCAGAGGCTGTGGTGGCTGCAGCAGTTGCGGGGGCCCCAGGAGCGCAGGGGAGCGAGCGCTGTGGGCACCGCGGCCATGGTCAAGGGGTGGCGGAGAGACCCCGAGCTGCTTCTGGCGTTCCCGAGCAGGAGTCGCTCCAGTGTTGCGCAGGGCTCCCGGGAGCTCCCCATAGGGGAGGAGGGGGGAGGGGAGGAGGAGAAGGGGGATGGCTGCGGGGGGCGGGGAAGGAAACTACTGGAGCAACAACCCTGAGCGACCTCAATAACTTTCAATTTCAAGAGGGAAAGAGGGAGCTGGAAAAGTACAGGCGATTTGGCAGAGAGACGGGGAAGAGGCGCCTAAGGGGTCCCGGGTCTGCGGCGGAGCATCTCTGGACACCGTGGAGACGACGAGAGGACACGAGCGGGGGCGGGGATTTGCAGCGCGCGTTGAACAGTCCTTCGGAAGGGCAGCTCTGGCTAGGCGAGTTGGGCGCTCAGGGGCTGTGATTGTGGAGGCCGACCGTCCAGCTGGCTGGTGTCCCCCCAACTCCCAGTCCGGCTGCGGCCTCAGGCTGAGAGCACCCTGTTCTTCTTAGCCATGCCCATGTGCCCGCCGGCTCTCCACCTCACCCCAGCGACTGGTCTTAGGCAGCCCGCCCCTCGTCCCTTGGGCAGATCGCTGAAAGATTTCTGGCTGTGCACTCCTTCCCAGCTCTCCGTAGCCTCTTCTCTGTTGCTTGTCTCCCTTTCTTTCTTTGATTCAATAAAAGTCGTTACAGATGGATGTCGGGCGGGTAGCGGCGGGGAACTCAATAGGTGCTGCCCTTCAGCTTGTCCACAGTTTACCTGCTCAGAAGGAGGAGGACGTAGAGGTGTGTGCGCTCAGAGCTGTCCGCTTGGAAATGCTATTGTGCTGCGGCTTTCTTCCAAACCCAGGCTTTGCTGGCTCTGGAAGATTTCTCCACCCCTCAGACAATTCCCTCAGTAGTCAGCTCACCCTTGTTCAGTGTGCGCTCTTTCCCGGTCTCCTAATGGTCTTAAGAGAATCTGTTCTGCATTTTGGTTTCTCATGGGGGTGGGGGTGGGGGTGGGGGTGGGGGGAGGATTCGGAATAACATGCGGAACATTTTCTCCGTCTTGGGGCGAAGAAGTTCCATTTCTTTCTTCTGTCCCAAGCGCCCATGGCAGTGGAGAATCAGGTTTCCTGGCCCACAGAGGGGTGGGAGAACCAAGGGCTGGCTCTTTTGGGCGTGTACACCCTGGTTCAGTGGTGAGTTCCCCATCTCTTTTCTGCAAACTCATGAGCTTTCAGAAGAAATTAGTTGAAGGTCACAAGACCCCCCCTCCCCGCCCAGCGTTTTTAATTTAAGTCTGTCCTAGATAACAGAGTTTCTGAAGGGCTACTCTCAGTCGTACTACAGCTTTAAACAGCACTGAACTTCTAGGAGGCCACTTTGAAAAAAGTTCCAGAATTTCGGAATATACACCCCTTGATAAGTCTTCATTCAAATAATTTAGGTTTAGGAAATCTCTAAAGCCTTGCTGGAAAATAAGATTGACAGGATTGCCTTTAATTTATGTGTTGATAAATTGGAGGAGAAACAAACACTATGGCCCTTATTCGTCCCATTTTGCAAGCTTGCAAAGCGCCTGATTGTTGTATGTCTCTACAGTCTTTTAGTGGTGTGTTAGTTACACACCAGAGAAGTGGGATTGAGGAGAAGTGGCCTGGATACAAAAAGAAAGGGACTCGAAATATGTGTTCTTTTCAAGGTGATAAAAATTAGAATCCTAGAGGCTGGACTTTTGGTGCTAATTCCTTAATTAAATATCATTTATTATCTTGCATACATGTGCTGGAATTTTGAAAATACACATAATTTCCTTTAAGTGTGATATGGGAGGAAGGTAATAACCCAATCATGATTATGATGTTTTTACTTTTTAAAAAAAGAATTCTCATTTACCACATTCCTCTTTCTGTAATGGAACTGTCTTCAGAACATCCTCCCAGACAGCGCGCGCGCGCGCGCACACACACACACACACACACACACACACACACACACGCCTGTCGTCCCCAGTCCCCACATCCTAATCTGTTGCCTAATGTCTACTTGTAAATGATTGAGTTTATCACTTTGAACCAGAAAAGTTACAGATAACCAGCCAATTCCAATAATGATTATCTAGAAAGAAGCCACTCTATTTTTCTGTGCCTGCCCCATCAGCTTTGCTTTCCTTCTTGCTTAATTCCTCAGATCCTGAATATCTGCACCATAAAATGTGGGGGATTTAAAGGTTATGGGAGGATCCCTTTGAAAACTATTCCAGAGACAGTCTTTCTAATCCAGGATACTTGAGCCGGATGGAATGAGATTGCAAAAGGGATGTAAAAAAGCAATTTGGTGAACAACTTCAGGGAAATAAACATGAAGAAAGACACTTACTTTTCACCGTGTGCTGTGCAGACATATGTTAGCTTGGATGAGAACAGGAATGGCAGTGTAAGTAAATAAACAAACCCAGTGAGAAGCTACAGTTCTTGAGCCATCCCAGAAAAGAAGTGCTAGATGCAGTGGGCAGAAAAAGCTTGTCAAGGAGTAAGTCCTGTTCAGAGGAAACATAAGGAAAACATTAAATAGATTGGGAGAATATTCTTTCCTTCTTGATGCTATGCTTTAAAATAACTTTTTTCTCATCCATGTTACTGTACTATTAAATATGTGTTTACTTGTTGGGCTGAGTTTTACATTCCCTCGACTGTCTCAGAAGCTTATATGCATGCCATGCCTATTTTGTACAACACAGTACCTACTTTTTTCTTCAATAAAGAAAACAATGTTCACAGAAGCCTGTGGCTGGCAGTAGATCCCAGAGCTCAAGCCAAAAGCCAGTTAAAATCCATAGGTTCAGCATAGAGGTTGACATTTACTTCTTATTTTTCTCCAAAAATCATTATTCACAGGGAACTTGGATAAACTAGAAGTGTATGTGACCCAGGCTAAGGGAATAGTATACTTTCACATAAAGACAGAGGGTTAAACATACCCAGAATTTTACTGCAATTTCTCATCTTTCCTTTACCATCTCCCCTAACCAGGCAATGACAACAATAACAAGTTATTTTTATCCATTGCAGCAGTGGCACTTTAAGGAAAGAAAATGATTGTCATATTGTTGAATCCATACAGCAAATATGTAGAAGGGGGCGTGCTCCAGAAAGGGAGAGCAAGCCCAATAGTTTGGGATGGGATGCAACTAGTAGTGATGAGAGATGTTTGGCAAAGTCAGGGCTGACATCAGTCATTTTACCACAGAGCTAATATGCAGATTCTGAAAATGCTCACTCTCCAGTTGCTCCAATCTGGAGACATTTGAGTAAGTCAAATAGGGTAGGGCTGGCAGGGTCTGTGTTACTAATGCAGCTAGAAATCATCTTTGAAACATAGACCAGACAGCAGTATTTAAAAGCCATTGAAATTAGTAGACAAAGGATAACTACTATTTTTAGACAAAGAAAGGAGATAAAATTATTATAGTAATTAAAGAATGATTAAATGTTATGTAGCATTAGGAAAATAAGAAAACCAAGATCCACGATGGATTGCTTTCTGTCAACAAGAAGGAATGTTCTTCCCAGATGAAGTTATGGGGCATTTATAAAATTGTGTTGAGCACTGTGTGGTATACCTATGTTTTCTTTTCAATTTCTTTTTCTCGAAAATCAGCTAATTGCTAGACTCACTTAAGTGAGTATATAAGCACTCACTGTAAAGAATTTAATACCCTGGAAAGTTTTGATTGATTAAAGGACTTGAATGTAAGGGAGGCCATGTGCAGTACTAAGAGGGCAGTGGATAGGGAATCGGGGGTCTTGGTGAGTCCTTGTGAGTTCTTGTTCTGAATTTTTATTGTCACAGGTTTTTTTATCTGAAAAATGAGGAAGTTCACCTCCCTGTTAGATCTGAAAATAATGGCAATATCTCCAAAAAAAAAAAAAAAGAATGACAGACTTGTAATTGCAAATGTCAAAGCTATTTCTGGCTGTGTGACATCACAGCTTTCATTTGCAGAGTTGTGTTTAATTGAATGGGTCCAGATTTAGAAATCTGCTTTCAAATGCGTGGATTTTCTGGAAATGCCTAACCTATTACAAGAATCCTAAATGACTCTGGCCCAGCAAAGATAAATCTAGGACTAGTTTAATCTGCCTAGACATCTGTAGGCTTTAGGATAACAAGGAAGAACAAATTTTAAGCCCTAAATTCTGGGCAGACTCCTAGGAAAACTAAGGAAAAGGACTCCACATCTCATGGAGATACCAACTCATTCCAGTTTGAGTTAAGGAATACTAGTTGAGGGAAGAACATGGGCTTTATGAGTAATGGCCTTTCTTTTCATTCCATGTTATTTCTTAAAAGTCAGAAATAAAAGTCATTTTTTATTTTTCCTATTCATATCTTTTTTTTTATAAGGATATTTTTATGTGTCTTTTGTCCTAAGACACTCTTCAGAAAGTCAGCAGTAAAGCTTGAGTGACTGTGGTCACAGCTTTAGGTTGAAGAATTACTGGCAAGACATAAAAGTATCACAAGATATAGAATGTTAGATAAGAGATAATATTAATGAGAAAATTTTGCACTTACATTTGCATGTGTTATCTCAAATGACCTCAAAGCACATTATTTCCTAGATGATGAGATAAACAACTGAAACCAAAAAGTGAAATCACTTGTCCAAGCTTATTTAGAACGTTTTATGGATATTTTGTATTACCTCAAGGTCTATTTTCTCTACCTCCCTTTGCCTTCAGGACATTGACTTCTCTCGACTAAGTCATCAGAGCTCCCTTTCCCTGGTTGACAGTTAAGTTCAGCCAAAAGTGGTACCTGCAGAAAACCAGAGTGTGAGAGAATAATGTCACTCTTTCCCTGCTTTGGCATCATTCTAGAAATGGCTATATTCCTGGTAGACGATAGTTCTGTCAAGATATCTTTTTCATAACTCTAGCTAGCTCTCAACCAGGCTTTAATATTGTAATTTATCCCCCCTGACTCTTTGAGCCTAGAAACGGCAATAGCTTATCACTATTCTTTGTCCTTGTGGAGTGCCTCAGCCTCTCCTGTTGGTTCCTTTTACTCTGTATACACTATAAAAA